ATTTTTTCAAAATTTTCATTTTTGGACTGCTCCATGAAGCCCCGCCCACAGGAGAGCTTCCGCCCACTTTGAAGAGGCCCCGCCCACTTTTCACAAATAGGGCAATGGCGGTATAGAGTCTCGGCTAGCATGCTAGCGTATTGCTGGTCATTCTAAACAAACCTTGCCTGATTTTCTTGTTCCAAGTGACGAACGAGACTCCTTTTCCCCCTTGGCAGCACAATTTTGCACGAGTCATTAGAGAATTTTTGGGTTTTGTAGAACTTACGGAAAAAAATTGGAAGTAATAGGAAGTAGAACACATTGTTGTTGGGGATTCCCCAAGAAGGGGATCGTATTTGGCTCTTGGGAGAGGGGGGAGTCGTAGTAAGTACGGCGTTCGTAACAAGCAGCACAAAGGTGTCAGTGTGCTGAGTCCTGTATAGCGAAACTTGCTTTGTAGAGAATCCGGATATGTAAAAAAAATAGTACAAAACTTTCATTATTGAACTAATCCAAAATTAACTGGAAATATTAATAAGTTGACATCATTTCGTAAGTACGTAGATGACTAAACAGTACAACTTATACCCTGGTTCGCTGCGGATGATGGGGTGTCCGAGCGACCGCGCTTGGCGCGTCACCAACCTGCTTTTTTTCTTTCGACAAACGACAGGATTTCCATATCTTTCGTGTCAGACGTTTTCCAGCAGTCCTTTATTGGATTCAGGAATTGGTGGAGCACGGATCTGGCGGCATGCGGTTGCCATTCTCGGTTGCTGATGATTGGCGGACACGTCCTGCCATCCGCAACGGACAAGACTGTAAACAAGTGCCTAGGTTGGCCATGGACCTCCCCAAATCCTACAAACACATCTTCGCGCAGACAGGCATTGCGTAGAACTTGCACCATCCCACTACCTCTGCGTGGGAGCATAAGCATGGCGCATTAGCTTCATTTCTGGAGCATCGCGCTCCATAAATAAAGCCAGTGGACCCTAGACCAACTACAGCTTGTTCCTATTCACGAAGGGATGCACTCTAGATGCATTCCTGCATATGAATACGGCACTTCAAACGGTGCACAGGAACGGGTTTCTCGAGCAGCTCGGTGTACTCTTCAGAAAATCCCAACGCGATTATCTAATGAATCCCGAAAACTTCAGAAAAAATTTAAAGTAGTTTTGAAAGAGGAAATCTTCTAATATTCGACATTGGTCTTGGATTTGCAAACAGTTGAGCTTTCAGAAAATTATCTCCGTTCAAACCACCGGACAGTTTGCATCCAAATTCGAAATCCCCAACTAATCCTCAACGCTGAATTTCTCCATAAATTGGCAGCCTTCATAAAATTTCAGCACCTTCCGGGAAGCTCAAATCTTTTTCTACACGATTGCGTTTTCCTCTTTTGAAACGGTCTCACACTGAGGGGTATAACCCTTCAAATGCAAGTTGCTTTACATAGTGGGGGCCTAGGAAAACGCGCCCCAACAAACAAAGTGCAGACGCGCGCGTATTCGGTATTCAAATGGCATGGCTGCCAGTTCCTCCCGCGCGCGCGAATTTGAACACAACATTAGGCGAGGTAGGGTGTGCAAAATACGCTAGCAGCGTTCAGATATCGTGACGGCAGCAGTTTGGCCGCGCGCCTCAACGGGATCGATGCACGATGCTTTTGCACTGCATTGACGAGTCGAACGCGCAGGCCGAAGCGCTTGCGTCGTGAGTTGAACGCTGCCTTAACCGTCACAGTGATTTTCCAGAAAATGTAGAAAATAATTTGAAATAGCTCGAGCAATGGGTTATAGTTGAATCTGGCCAGAGGATCGTGCAACATATAGTGCATTGTTACTTCCGAAATTCTAATGACATCAAAAGAAAGAACCTGACGCCCCTTATCCAACCTTATCAGATGCTGGCAGTTTTTGTCACCAACCTAGTGTTCCTTTCCTAAACCCTACATCGTATCTTGGAACCAACCAACCTTACTGTTGCTGTGAGCCGACAATAAAATCTTCTTCGGAGCCATTTTTCGAAGGAGTTGTGACCATATCTGTAATTTTGTTTATATCGAATATATCGAAAAACGAACAGGTGTTTTGCTAACTCAATGTTTCCGTATATATAACAGAAGCTTTGTTAATAAGGGAAATGTTTGTGTCACTGTGCGTAAATCTGATTACATTGAAGCCAAAATCATCCTTCTTATTGAATGTCAGTTGGTCCTTATTACCCCGCATTGGACTGGTTTGAGTAAATCAACTAAAAATGTACAAGCATAACCAGGGCACATCGTTGGTTGGGGAATCCCCAACAGGGGGGTCGTATTTGGCCGCCAGGAGAGGGGGGTCGTAGTGAGTGCGGCAGCCAGTAACGAGCAGCGCAAATTGTCAATGTGCTGAGTCCTGTACAACGAAACTAGAACTCGGATATGCAAAAAAATAGTACAAAACTTTCATTCATCAAACTAATCCGAAATAACTGCAAATATTAATAAGTCGACATTATCTCGTAAGTCCGTTGGTGACTAAACAGTACAACTCAAACTCTGGTTCGCTGCCAATGATATGGCGTGTCCGCGGTCGCGCTTGGCGCTGAGCCAACCTGTTTTTTCTCGACAAGCGACAGGACTACCATATCGTTCATATCAGACGTTTTCCAGCAGTTGGTCTCCTTTATCGGAGTCATGCGTTGGCGGACGCACGAATCTGGCCAGCCTCTTTGACCAGGACATGTTCATCATACGCAACGGAAACACTGTAAACAAGTGCACAGGCTCGCCATGGACCTCCCTGAACCTTATAGACACATTTGCTCGCGTGAACAGACATTACGCACAAGTTGCACCATCCCATCACCTCTGCGCGGCCCTCAGTGCGCGGCGCACCAAAGTCAGGCGTTGATCGAACGCTAAACGAACCCATATCCTGCTCCTGCTCCACCACAGGATACGTTCTACATGCGTTCCTGGCTATTCGAACACGCTCACTTGAAACGGTACACAGGAAACGGGTTTTCGCGCAGCTGGGAGTGTTCCTCAAGAAATCCCCATAGCGAGATCTCATGAATCCCGAGAGCTTCAGAAACAGTTCAAGAGGTTTTTAGAAAGAGAAAATCTTCAAACACTCGAAACCATTCTCAGATTTGTGAAATGTTGAGTTACAAAAAAAATATATTGATTCAAACCTGTTCGGTTGAAACCACTCCCCAACGAATCCCTATGGCAGATTTCTCTGTGATTTTTGCGACGTTCATAAACGTTTTAGTACTTTTAGGAAGTGCAAACCTTCCTCTACACGAGTACGGTCTCCTCTTCCCCACAGGTCCGCTTTTGAGGAAGGTCCTTCAAAGACACCTACGCTCAAGACTGGAATTCTTCGCCTCCATTGGCTAAAATTCCGGAATATCTCCAGTCACAGCCTGCTAATTACATGGCGATTCATGCTTACCGTACTCCACATAATCGGGGTAATGCATTTTTACGGCGGTTTGTATAACTGTTACGTAGTGAGACAAGCCTAACTTTCTCTTTTCCTCGTCCTCAATCTTGGGAATAGACGTTGTTAACACTGTGGTCGCTGATGGCCGCTCCCAGAGAGGGAGTCCACCTCAGGTTAACGAATGCTCATTGAATTTAATCGCGATACATCGTTATTATTACCATGTGTTGTTTCAAAACGGCCATCGAAGAAGTTCATCATACGAGTTTCTCATAATACGATTGTACCGTTTTTTGTTGCAATCATCTCTGTATTGTTCTATTATGTCATGACTTCAAGTCGTCCATTTAGTATGGGCACCTTCATACAAGTAGAATTTCATAGTGGGCGTTTCATAGTTTCATTTAAGGCGAAAAAAAAAACCGAACGGCAAAAAAGGGGGGTCGCTACAGAACCCCCCCCCCCCAAAAAAAAAGGGGGGGGGTCGTACAGGGCTCGACCAAATCTCCCCATCGAATGCTTCTGCCCTGCACACAACTCCTAACGCCTCAACTTCATCAGTTCACTGTTCGTGGCTACACTATCGGTCAAATTGATAATAAGGCATCGTCACCGATGCTGGATAAAACACGCTTCAAATTATCTGTCAAGCGATACATCGGTCTCTTACATGAAAGTTTAGCTTGGATTTTGTCTATTAACAATATGAACTGCTATCTCTTATTGTGGTTGCATGGCGGTGTCTAACACGCAGCGATTTTGAAATTTCTCAAACCTTCCGGACACCTACTAATCAACATGCAAATCGTCTATGCTATGATGTAATGAAACCTATTGTTATTAAACGTTTTGGATTTGTCTAGTAAGTTAACTCCACAACAAAAAGCGTGATAGATCCTGCTGATAATGGGACTAAAATTGCCCTTGTGGACACCTTTAGTCTGCTTAAACGCATTATTTGCAAAAAGACAAAAACTGTTTCGTAAAAGATAGTCGATTAAGGTATACTAAATCGCTGGATTTGTAATATCTGTAGTTGCTCTTAATTTCTTTACCATCTGTATAAAACAAGGTAGTCATTAGTGGCCAAGCCAACCAAATCTCTACCCTTGAGGCGATAATTTGTTGGCATGCAAGGGCAATAAGATGGCAGATTGGTTTGGTGGGAGGATAAAAACACTAATTTGTATAACAGTAACCCTGTGATTGTGGGCCGTATTGCATGCGGTGCGTCATGTGACTCCGATTGGAAGTAGAGTGTATACCGTCTCCCAACAAGGGGTTTATATGAACGGAACCTCGTCCATTTCATCTTTCAAGCCTCAAATGGCTGGAAACTTTTTTCCACAATAACGTGGAAGTACAGTTGTGATGTCTGATGCATGAATGGCAGTAGCTATGAAACAGAATTTTAATAGTACGCGCTGTTAATCGGAAGACTTGTCCAAAAATGGGTGGGGTTACAACATAGGTGAAAAACTTTCGCCACACTCCTTTTTTTGAATTTTTTGAATAGAAATGAGTGCAACAATATTTATTCTGCAAGTAACTAAAAAATATGAGAGCATTCATCTAGTCGCATTAGTGCCTCATTCTCAACCTTCTCGATGGTCGTTTATGGTACGAACGTCGATGATGACGATGATGGCCCTTCTTGGATCTTCTCTTTGCAGCAGAACCTTCTGGAGCTGAGTCGTCTGTTGGCTTGAAACCTGGTGGCATACCACGACCGCCAGCAGGAGCTTCCTCTTCATCTTCATCGAGGCCAACAGTTCTAGTTGGACATGGACAATATTCGGCATCATCTCCCGGCAGTCCTTCAGGCCCATTTTGACCTGGTTCTCCGTCTGCGCCAGGCTCGCCAGGGTTTCCAGGCATTCCTGGAGGTCCCATTGGACCGGGTATGCCCATTAATCCTTCAGAACCATTGGGACCGGGAGCACCAGGCACACCCACTGCTCCGATAGGTCCCTCTGGTCCAGGTTCTCCAACGCCATGTTGTGCAGACATGCCAGGTGTTCCCGGTGGGCCGTCAGAGCCAGGTAGGCCTACCGGTCCTGGATCTCCAGGTGGTCCAGGCTCTCCAGGCGCGCCGGCATCGCCACTTTGTGCAGGCATTCCAGGTGGACCTTCAATACCCTGCTCACCAGGTGGACCAGGTGGCCCTGGCGGCCCTCGAGGACCTACAGGGCACTTTACGCAACCAAGTGGTCCTCCTGCTCCCGAAATCGCCATACCATCGTAGCCCTGTTCGCCAGGTTCACCTGGGCTTCCATCATCGCCAGGTTCTCCCGCGGGTCCAGGAGGACCTTGAGGCCCAGTGGGGCAATTTTGCGCCTTTGTACCGCAGTTGCATCGATCATCAGAAGTCTGTCTACTTCTGCGGTGATGTCTAGCTGCTCTTCGTATCCTGATTGTATCGTTAGGGAGTTATCCTCATGCGATCCCACGCTGTATTCGCCAAGTCCTGAAACGAAATCCTTCACTCTCACTTTCAATAGTCAGGCTTAAACCTAGTTGATTCGGTTGGGGCGGTGTCAGGAGGCGTGTAATGAGTCCACCTTCCCCTTCTACCAATAGTGACTGGTTCAGGAGAGAAAAATCATTAAAAAGCCGGTGGCTTTATGGCTCCTGGCACCGCCCCGATTGATTGCAACGATCTCAGCTGTAGTACTTAACCGAGCAGTACCTTGAATACGGCGAGTTCTCCTATAGTGTCGTCATAGAAATTGTTGATATCATTAATCAGGTAGACAACGAAACCAAGGCAGATTGTCGTTGAAATGGCCGTGAACACAGCTACAACATATCCGAGTGTTGGCGTGCCCATGCTATGAATCTGCTAAAAAAGGAATTCATGGCCCATTTGCAAGGGAATTTTTGCAGATACAATTAGGTTCGAT